AAACAGTAAGTGGCGTTTTTATGGTATTTATAAAATAACGTCCCGCGTTGTTTTAGAATACTTTATAAACTGTTGTTATATTTCGTAGTCGTTGTTGAGAATGTGTACCCCGAATCGACACTGCCAGTGAATCGAATTGATTGTATAATAATATACTATAGTCTCGCTCGAAAAGGAAAACACGGAAAGCAAACGGTGATATTAAAAATATTATGAAAATGTTATTATGGCTAACATTCGGTACAGAAATGTCAGCACTGCATACACTGTGTTTCGCTCAAACGGTAACGCGATATTTTTTATACCAGGCGATTCATTTAAGTGGGTACACTCATTATCTCGAAAAGTATTAACTCTTTCCGGAATTAGTTTTCTAGAACATTTAGGAAACGAAAATGCTCTACAATTTTATATTTATGTTATTTTTCGGGGTAAAACCATAAACTAATTCGATTTTCAAACGGCAACCTAAATTGAAATATCCATAAATAGATTCGGTATTAGTTAAAATAAATACGAGTGTTGAAATGTTTGATTTCTGTCAAGCCGTTTACGAGATATTCCACTTTTAAGTTTCGGCTGGAGGAGAGTAGTGATGCATTATTAACACGCCGCGCGCCGTACCGCCACACAGATGATACTCCACTACTCCACTTCAAACTAAACTTAAAAACGGAATATCTCGTCAACGGCTTGACAGACATGAAAAATGTCAACACTCAAATTTATTTTAACTAACCATTTGTTGCCATTTGAAAATCAAAAGTAAGTAATGGTTTTATCCCAAAAAATTGCGTAGATATACAATTGTATAGCAGCTTATTTCTTAAATGTTCCAGAGAACGAATTCCGGAAAAAAGTTAATACTTTCCGAGATAATAAGTGTACCCGCTTAAATGAATCACCCATACATAATGTTACGTCCGGATTCATGAAATTACGTTATATTTGTAGTTTTCGTTGGTTTTGTGCTTTAAATCTGTTAGATTTAAGATTTGGGTGTAATTATCAAACCTAAAGAAAAGAACATTGGCTATATTTTTACGGTGGTTTTTTTTTTCGATATTTTAATATCAACGGGCATATATAGACAAAGTTACCTTACCTTTAGGTTTGATGGTAGGCAAATACAACCTTATGTTAAAACTAACAGCTAAAAATTAGCGTAAAGTACAAATATAATGTAATTTCATTAATTGGGCAAGTTCATCGACAGGGTGTAGCATATAATACATTATGGACCCGTTACGAGGCCGTTTTTTCAAGTCGTTTTTATAATAATTGTAAAAACCCGTATCTTGGTAAACCGGACAAATTTACATCGGTAAAAATTTCGTTATTTTTTATGTTTCCAATTTTGTTTTTTGACCAAAAATCTTTTTCCGAGTTCCGAGAGTGAAGAGTGCGGTGTGTAATTGATGCGTAAGAAAGTCGTTTTTTTTTTTTTAATAATTGTCCGTCTAGGAAAACGTAAAAGTTTACAAAAATAACGGTTTATAATTTTCTAGACGTGATCACATTTATAAAACATTCAAAACGATTTTTGAGCTATTTACAGGCATTCGATATTTTTGAGTTTATTAAGTTCGTTTGATTTTTATTCGATTTTATGAAGAATTGAAATTGTTTTGGCCAAGCAAAAATATCACACAGCCGTTTCTCAAATGTACTTAAAAATACGACTGTAATCGGTTTAAAAAAAAAAAAATTGTAAAAAAAAAAACACGAATGTTATGTACAATGCAAGGGTTCATTTAGAAAAAAGTGCTATCATTGTAAATTGGAGCGGAATTGTTGGTAGATATATTGTCTACAGAAAAGAGAAAAAAAAAACATAATTTTACGACCGATACATATTTCGTTCCACGCAGAATCCGGAATACGTCTATACGAACGTAGCGGAATAAATAGGGATTTCCATTAAAGAAAACGTAAGTCTCGTTGGGGGAGAGGGGGGGGGCATCGTTTCGAAAAACAGTCTTGAACAACGCCGATCTCGGTCACTTCCTAAAGGAACGGGCCGTTTCCACCACGTCCCGTCCGAGTGAAATATTTCGCGTTGCCGTTTGGTACAGCTGAAAACCCACACCGCTGCAGTTGTACTGGCCGTATTGCACGAAACGAACACGAAATATTGTAACGATTAATCGATTGAAAATATTAAGTGAGCGTGCACGACGACGACGACGACGACGACGACGACGGTGATAAATAATTACGGCGGCGTCTGCCGGGGTCATTAATCAAAAACGGTTCTCTAAAACGGCTCGGACACGGCGTACCGATATTATACACTCGAAGTCTCGAGAGGTACGGAGCGGATGACTTGGGTTTATTATAGCCGGTCGGACACATTGTAGCGATGCAGTTGTTGATTACCGTGATTCCGGCACGGGAACGAGACAGCAGGGGACGGGAGACGGGAGGGAGAGTCGAGTTTGATTAACGGACGATAAAAAAAAAAGAAAAACGATAAAAGGCCAGCGATTTCCGAGCCTACTTACTATAGTTCCGTAATTATTTACGCGTAGAAGCATAAACAAAATTACACATCTTAATTATTTGTGCAGTGATAGTTTACTGAGGCCGTAAAGAGGTTTTCCGAACGGTCTCCAATTTCGTAACATTTGAAAATCGTTTTCTACCTCATAATGGCCACCCTAACGACAAGACTTCTTCCCCTAATCTACCGTCCGAATTACCTATTTAATGAGAAGAGTTGCAGCCGGTTTTATGGCGTTTTAGTCCAACGAGCTGGTGTACAATTCGTTCAAGAATGTCGTCCGGTTATTATTTAGTTCATTTAGAACACGTACACGATGCATTCACCTTTTTTCCTTAAAATACACTCATATTTAAGTAGCAAAATAATAAAAAAAAAAAAAAATGCGTACGAAGATTTTTCTTACAAAACATAGAAAAGAAGTAGGTATACGAAGTCAAATCATTTTTCGTAACGGGGAAATTGGACCACTAGATGTAAGTTTGTTTTACTCGAGCTCATTGCACATTTGTCTAAATGTATGAAAAACGAATTGGTTTCACTCGATTTAGAGGTAATTATATTTATTATTTTTTATCTATTTTTAACAGTTAATTAGTATGAATTTATATTTAATACTCGTATTTAAAAAATAAGACATTCGCGAGCGGCAGATCTCCGAATCACTAAAGTAGAATTTTCCCTCAGGCAACTTGTGGCCGTTACAATATTTTTTTTCTCCTCTCTAATTTCTCTAAAATAATTACGTTTGACAGAGTTTTACTATATTTTTTGACAATTCCGTTTTTGGTTTTTTTAAATACACTGACATTTATTGGCCACGTTTACCCCCTCGTCCTGCCTTCAATATATTCTGCTATAACGGTGTACTACCCCATATTTCAATTGGGTACATAAAATACATACGTCTTATAATGACTGTAAATTCGTTTGATAATTCGATCATTTTCTCTCGTCATAAAAATATGCGGGCGGAGATTTTTGGGGGGGGAGATAGTCTAAGGAACCCCCGCCGATATCGGACAAAGCCCACATTTAAATGCTTTTCGACGTTTTCCTTAGGTTTTATTTTTCCACGACAAACCTAATTTAAAAGTAAGGATTATTTTACCGCCTCTCCTCTCATAAAAAGGTATCAAAACTCCGCCTACGTCCGCGGTGTACCTTTTACCCGGCAGATTATAATAATCATACTGTATCGCAAATCAGAATATTAGGTTTAACACGAAGGCAACGGTATTTTTACTGTACAAACGCGTTACAATCCGAAAACCGTTTTAAGTCGTCCATAATAATAATACCTATAATAATATTAACTGCCGCAGTCACGTTTCGGCCAATCCTTCCGATACGGGCCGTAATTATTACTATCATTTTTTTTTTTAGTATAAATATATTATTTTCAACTTTCTATAAGTGTGTGTATATATTTAGTTTTTATAATATAATATTATCAAATCTGATTAAATATTCGAATGCGCAGCTAACGCGACTAACGCGGATATAAAATACAAAAACTTTCCAATTCGTTACTATAAGCTCGCGCGTCCGACAAATAATAAGTATATGTATACGCGATGGTATCGCAGAAATTGGAAAACTACATAAAAAAAAAAAAAATCGTATTAAATAAACCGTAACGGACATTAAACATTTATTGCTGGAGAAAAAAAAGAACGTTTCCACACCTAGAATATAGGTGCCTATGCCTATAAAAATATATTATACGGTTTTATTTTACTATATATTTGCGTTCGCCGTATGCGATTGACGCACGAAAATCGAAGAAATCGGGAAGGTATTATCGTACTCTGCGTATCCCGTATACAGGGCGATTAATTAGTTTGCAAGCAAAAATAAATCGTCGCAAACGAGAAACAATTCCGAGCGGAGTTCGAAAAACTCGTTTTTATTCGATTTTTTATTGGAAAATATCATACTATTTTGAATCTCAAGAATAAATAATTTCAACTAATAAATTTTTCGTGTTTCTAATGAATTTTATCATAAATTGTAATCGAATTGAAAGCGCTTAAAACAAAAATAACGACGTTACGTTTGACTTTTTTTTTTAATCATTCAGCAAAACTTCATATAAACCTAATTATCGTAACAAAGTGTCGAGAATTTTTATTGGTTTTTATTAGTTTTTATTTTTATCGATTTCATCAGTATCTATAACTGAAAAAAAAAACACTAAAATCTAAAAAACGGAAAGAGAAGTTATAAATGTCATAAAATTGTAAATCTAAAACTGCTTAAACCTATACTGTATACTATCTACAGTCGATAAAAAGCTACAACGGGATACAGCAAATGGGAAATGGAAAAACTCAATCAACCTGTTGAACCGACGTCTCGAAACGCAGTGTCAAAGATGTTTAAGTGTCCTAAATGTAAACCCAAAATCTAATCGACGAAAAACCACGCAACGGGTTTATTTAAGATAAAAAAATAAAGAAAAAAAAATAACGGGAAAAGACATTTTGTCATTAACTCATCGAGAAGCCATCATTGGAACATGTACAACGACCGTAGTGGTCCTGAGAAGTGTACATACATCACTTTTATTTTCACGGCCGTTGAAACGAAACTTCTTCCAGTATTGCCTATTCGCCGCCACCTCCTTCCGGTCCGAAAAGACCACTCCTGAGACACTTGAACTGTATTTCAGGTTAATACGATTTTCTCGATGAAACTTTGGCTTCAGAGCCACGCCTGAATATGAAAAAGGGGGGGTAGGATGGTGCGAAAGGTGCACGCGCGCCGGACCCTTTGGCCGCGGAGGCACCAGAGACGAACGGGTATTGGTTTTGTAATTAAAAATATCAAACGCCGATGGACGGGTTTAGCGTACTTAAAAGATTATTACGGTGACTTTTTTTTTTGATATCAATGTTGTTAAGTTTTTCTGACACCGGGTATCCGATTTCGCTAGACACGGCACCGGATTTTCGCCTCTCGTACACTTCCAATCGTGGATTCTGAGTGCGCATACATGTGCATGTACATAAACAACATATACCGTGTACATTCGAAAAATGTTCCGCCCGGAACCGACGCGAAAACGAATAATAACATATTTAACGCGCGCCTTTATGCGTACGCGTGCGAGTAAATGTAAGCGTGTCCTCTCCCACCCCCCGCACTTCCCTTTCCGGTAAGTTAAGCCGTTATCTCCGGAAACGCGCGCTAAGTCGACGTTTGATTGACACGGCGCTCCGGAAGACTGTTCGAAATTTCGGTTACGTATTGTTTTTTTTTTTGTTTTTCTATACACATTCGGTACCTACCCATACCCCTCTATATTATGCATACCTATTGCGCTTTACGCATTTTTTACGTCCGCCGTATGCATATTCGATCGCACTTTTTTATTTTTTTTTTGTTCCCGGGATCATAATACACATTATATACCACTATACGATGTCGGGTGTACGTACGCGCGTGCAGTATAATACGCGAGCCCCACGTATTTATTTATACCTTTTGACTTGAGGTTTAATAATGTATGCGTATATATTACACATAATGCATAATATACGTACGACGAGAAAGCAATATAAAACATTTTACTAGCTCGCGCCCCGTAGTCTCGTGTCACTGCAGTTATCCGCGTGTTCCGTGCGTACAAAATATCCATAAAAAAAAAAAAAAAATAAAAAAAAAATGTCGGGAGATATATTATATACATATGGAATACGCAGGTATAGTGTTATATTAAAATATTCACAAACCGCGCGGCACGGTAAATCGCCGGTAAACGATTTTGAACAAAGTCCGGTTATAAGTCGCACGTTTCGATAAACTCGGATGGACCGGAAATCGTATTAACAAACGTACAGCTATGGAACGATAACATTATTGAAACGGTACGCGTTTTTTCCGTTCAAAATTTTCAAACATTTTTATATTACGTAGAACCGATAAAGTTTTATCCGCGTATAAACCGGAATACGACGTACGCAAAATGCGATTTCATCAACGTTCGAGTGTTAAACGTTTACAAAAAAAAAATAAATAAATAATAATAAATAAAATATTGTGGCTACAATTTTTTTGATAGTTGTATAGTGTCGTATAAAAAAATCTGATTATACTATCATGGCAAACAAGATAATAGATAATATCGAATTTCCGAGCATTTTTAAAAAGCCAATCAAATGTTACCCGCACTAAACGAAATAATAAAAAGTCGAAATGATATATAAAGTTAGATAATTTATGTCTGTAAGCAACGATAAACCATTGCTAACAGAAAGTGATTCTGAACGAAGTTTTATTACACGCGTTTTGAAATGCCGTAGGTTTTTTTTTTTTTTTTACCATTGAAAACAACTAAACAAATGCTTACGAATATAGTTCGACAATCGTGTTGAATGTTTTAAAATTTTGACTACGTCTTATGTAGGTATTTTATGAAAACGTAAGTCTTTGCGAAACTTTTTAACCGCAACAAAAAGCAAAATTAACCATAATGAAACCGTTTTTTTATTAAATTTTCGGGATTTTATACGTTTTTTTTTTTTCGATTTAGCCTTATATTATTAAAAACCATGCGGAAAATCAATGGAATGTCGCCAAAGACCAGATAACATTTTTTCAAATCGTTTTTTAGACGATCGAAAAAAATGATGTCTTGTACAAAAGTCGTTTAATAGCAGACATAAAAACACGCTCTCGATATTATTACTCCGTTTCCGCATATCACATTTAGGTACATTAAAAAAAAATACTGTATATTATACCGTCGTCCGGCTGTTAATTAATTTCGTCTCCGGCACGATGATAATATTATTGTTATGCATACATTGGCGGACAAACAGTATTCCGTTTCGCTCGGAAATATTTCGTCGCGTACGTCATCGTCATAATTGTATTATATTTAGCGTATTGTGTAGACGATAGGCGAACATCCTCTGTAAATAATATGTCCACATGATAATGTGTGACGGCGCTCGCGTTCGAATTGAAACGACCGAATATACCGAATATTACACGAGAAGACGCGTATAAGGGGATTCGAAACGGATGTTTTTTTTTTTTTTTATGCCCAACAAACATGCACGTTGACGATGGCATCATAACGACTAGACAGACCGATTTTCTGTCCGTCGGTCCGATCGATGTGTAGCGGTGAAGCAATTAGAATTCTAAAAACAGATATTACATGCGTTCAACGTCAGTTGTATTACAAACGGATGAACGCAATGGGCCGAAATAGATCTAGCCGTTTGACAGAAGCGGGCTAAAGGCCCCAATGTACGTCCGTACGGTACAGAAAAAAAAAAAAAAACAAACCATCGTGGGAAGCGAAAAACATAAATATTTGCCCGTGAAAAAACCGCCCATTAGCTGTACCTCAGGTACATAATATATACGTAATGTATGTCGACTTCAACCAATAACATGTAAAACGTACGCCGATCCCGGCGTAGTTATTAGTTATATTACGACTATACCGCGTGCCTACTACGAAACACTGATAAGACCAGTTATCCGTTCTCTTATTATATTGTGTGTATCTTTGATTCGAGCACGGTAATCAATTAGACGGTTGCCGTACGGCCTAAACTCGTATGTGGCTGTAAGCGGCAACAGAATTTCTCGTCCGGCGTGTTATCCGTGTATTTTTTACCTAGACAAATTAATAACACTCTATTACAGGTTTTACGTTGTACAGTAATCCACTTTAGACTAGATTATTGCGGTGTCACGAAAGAAGTTTTGAAAGGAGAATCGTTCGTTCGCCGGACGTTCTCTCATCGCTGTTCGGTCTTTAAACGTCTAATCTATACACGCTCAAGTTAGAGCCGTCGATAATGAAATGAAAAACTGAACATATTATTGGCTTGTCACCGATGACTGTACAATACGGTCACCCGTAGTATTTTATAAACGTATTTAATACGGGCGAATTGTACACCGACAGCGTTGTGCCTGTCGTCGGTATCATAATCACAATATAATATACGTATATACTGTTTACAAACGGCCGTATTGCGTTTAGTTCAGAACTGCGAAAATATATATGGCGGCCAGTGTTGGTATGGCACGGACTAAGTTATTGAACTGGACTGGAAACGAAGACCTTATAATATATCAGGAGACCTTACCTGTTTTCGAAAATCCGGGGACTTTACCTAGCGCTGTCTATGTATAGAAACAGAAACCGTGCTATATCGTACGGGAAATAGTTTCAAACTACTTCTCCGGTACAATGTCACCGTGATATGTGTTAACATTGTATCGTTCTGTTAATATGCAATATCATAAAATATTATGTACTATGGCACTATAACCGTTAAACATTCTGAATTTCCGAACGCGACCCGTGAGCGGCTCACAGAGTGAGATTCTAAATGTAGGGGCCCGACCGGGGAGGGGAGAGGCCGGATTGCTATCCCGAGTTGTTGTGGCGACCGTCCCGGCCGCGGCCACGCCGACGAGGACCGAACGCTCGTACGCATACGGCGGAAAAAAATACCGTACCCGTTAAAGTTCTACAGTGCCGGGTCGAGAAGTAAAACAGGCCCGAGATGTGATTTTGAGCGGCTCTAACGATTAATTTCGACCTCGAGTAGTTCGAACGAAGCGGTTTTTTTGTTTTTGTTTCGCCAAGTCGCAAATAGAAATGTAGATTTCACCGAATTATAACCGGGTGTAGCAGCACGTGTACAAACCGAAATATTCCGGGCCCGCCGTTATCAGGTCCCGTGCGATATTCCGGTCCGCGGTCTGTCGCGGATGTCGCGTGCCCGAGTCTTTATTATTATTATCTACGCGCACGGGTACATACGGTTCGAACAGCCGCGATCGCGTTATCATAATATACTTTATCATACTATTATATCAGGTACCGTTCGCGCAGTCGCCGTCGACATAATAAACACACGCACGCGTATACATGTATATTTAAATATTTACTTAAGTGTATAGTGTTATCGTCATTGTTGTCATTATTTATACGGGACGACAACCGACCCCGGACCCGCGACCGCCGCCGCCGATACGATCGATACGTATTATTATCATTATTATGATTATTATCATTATCATTATCATTATCATTATTATTATTATTATTATAATACGAGAGATCGTATGCGGGCCCGCGCGAGATAACTCTGTACGTCTCGTGATACTCTCGCACGTATATCATCCGGTAGTGATTGATGGCGACGCGGGACCGCGTACGCGCGCATACACGTAAGTACAGTACGATACGATAATAACGTAACGTGTGCGTGTGCGCCCGGGTAATGCGAGACGTTAATTAGTTAGACGGCGCGCGCTGGAGAAAATCTCCGGAAGGATTCCGGTCGACTCTTCTCCGCCGCCTGCCCACCCCCCGCCCATCACCTCAGCACCTCTATCCCACTCTTCCCGCCGAAGGATCATAATATCCGTCGAGAGACGTTCACGGCCGCGCGACGACGTCGTTTCGGCCGCGGGATTTATGCGGTCTTCGCGTACCCGGGGTCTGATTTAAAGAGAGGTCCCGCGCACCGCACGCAATACTGATGACCTTTTAATTTGTACAGGTCGTGACAGTTGCTTATTCAATACAATATTTTTATTTTTATTATTTTTTTTTTTTTTTTACATAGAATGAGAAGAGGGCCCTACGAATTTGGGGGGCCTTATGCTCGTGCGCCGCGTACACGTCCACTATATACAGTACAACGTCTTTATTGGGTAAACGAGGTACTGTGTGTACTGGGCGATATTAGCTCCTAATTACGGTTTTAGCGATTTTCAATAACTATCCAGACAACAATTGTACAATTCTCAATTATTTTTCTTATAATACTGTAACATCTAAAACACTAACGAGAAAAACGAAAGTGTAAGGCCGACTCTCACTATGGCTGCAAAGCGTGAACGGCAACCAGACGGAGAGAAAACCGAGACCTTTCGGAAACAAAGCACGGAGAAAAATATGAAGACTTATCATCGATTAATGTACGGGGAACTGTTGTAGGAGCTATACACA